TCGAACTATAACTTGACCTTGAAAGGTCAACTTGAAAATTTGACCTCAGGTCAAGGTCATGACCTGACCAGAAAGGGTCATGCTGCATATCAGTCGATCCGTGTCGTCGAGCTGAACACATCTAATGCGTTTTCATCGCTCTAGCATGCCTCTATCAAAAGTTATTTGCGAAAAACTGTTAGATACCATTCGTGACCTAAGATGATCTCAGGGCATAAACAGGGGTCACGGACACCATTTTCATGTTCAGTGTGTCTAATCCACTTGCAATTCAGTGTTTGGGAGTGTTTATAATGTCTTCCGTCCAAAAGAGGCGCATTTCAATTTTCTCCCATTGATTTATAATGGGGAGGTCGCAAAATTGACCTGACCTTAGGTCATCGATATCAAAATTCTGATATACATTTTGTACGTGCTATTACTCTTAGCAATCGCTGAACGTTTCAAAGCGATCGGTCACTCGGTGTAGCTATGACAGACATTGAAACTTTTTATGAGGTGAGGTCACTTCAAGTGACCTGGTGACCTGACCTTGAATGACCTTGGTCTGAAATTTTCACATGTGTAGAATTGATGTATGATAAGGTACCAAAAACGGAGGCGCTCCGCGCCGCCGTTTTTGAGATATTCGCGAAAAAACACAATGGAGGGGGTGTTCAACCCCCCCCCCCCAGCAGGGCGCGGGTTAACTATTGACAACAAGCCTTCGGTTAATATGCAGTACGAAAGCTTATACCTACCAAACACTTATGTTGATGTCTAACGTTGTAGGTGCTCTTACTTCAACACCTGATATTCCCATTTCCTCCCACAGAAGCCCATTAACGTTCCCTTGGATGTGGGAATGTAAGAAGGGGGCCTGTGTGCGCACTCCTGTCAGCGAGGCTACCAATGGCATGACCCTCGGCGGCTGCAAGCTGACATGTGGCAAGGGATTCACCCTGTGGCCGAAACCGACCGGGGCCGTCACCCTCGGCAAAACACCAGTGTCCTTCAAGTACAGCCAGGTTATTGTCATCGTGGACGCCTCGCAGGATGTTCGCGGCCTTGTTGAGAAGGCCGGTAACAGGCTCAAGGAAACGCTCCGTGACATGCGACCTCCTGGCGGAAGCTGCCTGGAGCTATCTTCTGCGAGGGGTGCTAGCCTGGCGACGCGTCAGCTGACAATCCGCGTCACTGTAGAGCGATCTGATGCGTCGCTGACGCTGAAGACTGACGAGTCCTACAAGTTGAACATCACGCACACCGACGCCGACCAGCTAGAGGCACACATCGAGGCCAAGACGTTCTTCGGCGCGCGCCACGGCATGGAGACGCTCTCGCAGCTGGTGGCGTACGACGACGCCAACGACGCGCTGATGACGGTGACGGCCGACGTCAGAGACGCGCCCGTGTACCCGGTGCGCGCGCTGACGCTCGACACGTCGCGCAACTTCATCTCGGTGGCCGGCCTGCGCCGCACCATCGGCGCCATGGCCATGAACAAGCTGAACACGCTGCACTGGCACATCACCGACACGCACAGCTTCCCGATCGAGATCACGGGCGAGCCGCGGCTGGCGCAGTACGGCGCGTACTCGCCGCGCGAGGTCTACACCCGGGCGGAGGTGGAGGAGCTGGTGCAGTTTGCGCTGGAGCGGGGTGTGCGCCTGCTGCCCGAGCTGGACATGCCCGCCCACGTCGGCTTCGGCTGGCAGTGGGGCGAGAAGGCCGGTATGGGGAATCTCACCGTCTGTCTGGGCAAGGTGAGTTCTGACAGGTGCCAGCACCTCTGTCAGCTTATAGCTGCCTCGACGAAAGGCAGACTGTTCCGTGATATGTCCCTTGGGGCTTGGTTTTCGCTTTGAAAAGGCTTTGCTACCATAAGGAGTTAATAAAGTATGATAAAAAATAAGGCAATATCCAACTTCTCCAATTGAATATGAACATCACATTCATTCGTTGGTGTCGTGATTCAACTGTAATTATTTTTACAGGAGCCGTGGCAGGAGTTCTGCGTCGAACCGCCCTGCGGGCAGATGAACATCATTAATGAGAACCTCTATAAGGTTCTGAAGACGATTCTGGTGGAATACAACGATGTCTTCCAGCCGGACCTGTTCCACATTGGTGGAGACGAGGTAATGAATCTAGACGTCCTGCTACTTTACTACTGTTACTTTTGCATCCGTCCTAAACAACAACAAAACGCACTTTCTACGATTGATTACCTTCCGACGCTATAAGCCGTTTATAAGTGACCTCCGAAGTCAGGGCCTCGTCTAAGAGATTTTCACTGGGAGGGCCAGAGACTCAACGAGCCAAACCTAGGGTACCCCCAAATTCAGTTTTCTCACCGGATTTAGGCCACTTATTTTTTATCACTGCCCTTAAACCTGATGAACTTTTTTTGAACACTAAATAAATTAAAAATAGTAGACATCCGACCCATGCCTCTGCATTAGCTTATAACCCCCTCACATTGCCCCACCAGACAGTAATAATCATACAAAGAATGAAACCTTAGTTTTGGAACCGCTGCACCTTTTTTAAGTTGGTCATTTGTTTACGATTTCAGCCTCTCATGAATGCTTTACTGTTCGTAGGAGTTCAAATTTAACGACTTATTCCCGTTTATCTAAGAATCTTGCTCCCGTTATGGCTATAAGGGAGCCATCACTTATTTGTATGCGCTCCTGCTTCTCTGTTCGTGCATAGAGTTAAGAACGTTGAAATCAAGGAAATCAAATATTTTCTTAGAATAATCGTCGAGCAAAATGGACAATTGACGCCCTCGAATGACCTGAACATTGATCTTATCTTAGCAATTTATTACGAACGCATATATTTTTTGCGAACAACATCGGTTTCTAATGGGCCCCGCCGGCTTATGAGCGTCAGGTGCCGAGCTCTGATGGCCATTGCCAGCTTCTGGACCCACGTTGGCCTCTGGTAGCCCACACTAGTCTTTCCGGTCCCCAGAGACAGACCACCAGGCTGAGCTTACGATCACCCAGAATGGGAGCCTGCTTCATTACTATTAGGAGCTACTCTTACCGCACACCGCGGTGACCGTCCAGCCAGAAGTTCGACGTCGCGCAATGAGGACGACGATAGGTAGAAAGAAAAACAACAGATTGACGCCCCGAGGACAGAAACAACAGGAGAATACGTGAAAGAGAATATGCGGGACACGGAGTTAGGTCGCCTGAAAACCCGAAATGTAACTATTGCTGAGCGGAAAAAAGCAATGGTATCAGGTAGGTAAACAAAATAAACACGTGAAAACAGTCAGAGGTAATCGGGTATATCAATGTGCTCACATTGCTGCCATGTTTCGTTTACGCATTTGTTTTTATGTGCACTGACGCCTTGCAGTAAAAAATTCGTTTGCCTTTTCGCTTTTGCCGGGCCCCCCAGTAGTGACATTTTTACCCTGACTGGGGGGGCCAGGCCGGTGACTGCGGGGGTTTGGCCCCCCCCAGTTAACATGTTAGACGAGGCCTTGTCCGAAGTTTGTAATATCAAAAGCAAAAGGCATTGATCTTGTGCAAGGTAAATAGCGTTTTACATAGCTGCTTTTTTCTAGATCAACCTGAACTGCTGGAAGACGACGCCAGAGATTGCTGCGTTCGTCAAGGAGAAAGGAGGCGACCCCACCGACGACGAGGAGTACATGAAGCTGTGGATCCAGTTCCAGGAGCGTGTCTACGACATGTGGACCAGCATCGCCGGCGAGCAGAAGACGATTCTGTGGACGTCGCACCTCACCCAGCGACCTGCCGAGGAGTCGCTTCTCGACCCCAGCAAGTACATCATCCAGATCTGGACCACGGGCAAAGACCAGCAGATCGGCGACTTGCTCAAACAGGGCTACGAGCTGATTCTATCCAACTACGACGCCTGGTATCTGGACTGTGGATTTTCCGCCTGGGTCGGCAAGGGCAACAACTGGTGCTCGCCCTACAAGAGCTGGCAGACCGTCTACGATAACAGTCCCAGGAAGATAGCGCAGAGCTTCCAGAGTAGCTCTGACACCGTGGCCTCTCGGCGTCCCTCGCAGCCGCTCCGTCAGTCAGATTTTTCTGCCCAGATTCTGGGAGGCTCTGCGGCGCTGTGGACTGAGCAGGCCGACGACGCCAACCTGGACACCAAGCTGTGGCCTCGCGGCGCGGCGCTGGCCGAGCGTCTGTGGGCGGAGCCGGAGACGGACTCGCTAGCGGCCCAGTGGCGCCTCGTGCACCACCGTCGGCGAATGGTGGCCCGCGGCGTCCAGGCCGAAACCATGCAGCCAAAGTACTGCCACCAGTACGACGGTAGCTGCTACATCAACTAACGCTGGATCGTCCAGATTTCAGCTAACTCTTGTGCAATCACCTGGATGCAATCGCCCAGGGAACTTTGATGTGTGCACGAGAAAAATATAAGATAAGAAGTAGTGAAATGTCTGTCGTGCCTTTATTTGTACACACACACTACATATCACAAATTTAAAATTAAGCAGCAAAACAGCTGCGAAAATGAGCTATTAAATGAATATGTAAATAAGCCTTCGAAAATAAGTCATGATGATCGTCATGATAGCTCTGAATTGTTGTATGACGGAGTCGAGGCTGCCTGAGGTCGGTGACCGGCGACCATTTTAAGTCCGTGTCCACAGTGATCGGTCCCTGCGCCATGGATGCGCGCCGCGTGGCAACGGCACCAAAATAGGTATAGGTAGTGTCATCATCAGCCCGAATTAGAATGCATCATGCATAACTCTTTTATTGTTCGTAACGCTTTACGCACGATCGCAGCCAATGTAAAGTAAGGACGATAGTTCTAGGTGTCTGGAGATGAGTACATAGATATCTGTAAACATGTAGCTGAAGACAAGATCTGCCACTACGCTTCAGCCTTCACGAGGAGCCGTATTCCAGCAGCCGACTGGCGGCGACTATTACACATCGCAAGTCGGAGCGTCCGGGCGCAAGGGAGAGCACACCAGAGAGCGGGGTCGGAGGAAGCAAAGAGCACGGTAAGAAAAGAGCACAGAGCACGGAGAGCACAGAACAGGGTCAGTAGAGAGCACAGAGTCGGAGTATACGAGCGCGAGAACAGCGAGTTGTGAGCGGTCAGCACGGCGCGGCGGTGCGCGCGAGTGCGGCGCCGTGCCGAGGACAGCGATCGAGCCAATCATTGGAGACGCACGTGCGCACTCTACAACGTCCGGTATCACAGGCAGTTCGCCGAGGCGCGCCGGCCGGCCCGCGGGCCGCTGAGGGGACCCTACCCCAGCGCGCGCTGCGCCCGTTCCTTTGTACGGTCGGGCACTGCCGAGGCGGTCCCAGAGCAGGGACTGCTCGCGTCAGTCAGACGGTTCGCGTCTGGGGTGAGCGCCGGAATAGCAGCGGTTGCTCAGCGAGGGTGACACGATCTGTCATACGCGGCTTTACCAAAAAAATTATGGAATAACCCCACTTCGCTGGTCACCAGTGCAACAAGTCGGGAAACCAGTCGACTTCCAACTGTATCGCTAGCTACACTTAACATAATCAATGGAATTGTAGTGGATTACTCAAAATCAAGAAGGTTAACAATACAAGCAATGCTGAAAAATAAATGTAGCATAGTAAAACTAAAAATAACATCAACTGAGGTAAATTAATAACTCCAACGAGTGCATTGTAAGCTAAAACTTCATAGAACATTACATAATTCAATTGCTTCCTTTATAAACTTCTCGATCCAGCGACTGCCCCTTTTGCATGCGACTGCACCCTGCTGGCTACCAGCTCAAAGGAGTTCCAACTAACATTAGGTATGGAAAAGCCTTCCAAGAGCTGTAAATCGTACAAATTATCGTGTCAAAACTTTAAATAAGTTGGAGAAGTTTGAAACCGGTCGGGCTGACTAGCATCCGAAATTAAAACAACGACGCAGAAACATACGCTCAACAACAATAGTGCTAACGGATCTTCCCAAATCCCATCATTCGACACCTATTGGGATGCGGTTTCATATTTAAAGGGACCCTCCCACCTTCAAAAAAGTTTATGAATTGGCATGAAAGTGATGTCGCTTGGTTCAGAAAGAGCGAAAACGAATATCTACCAAATTTCACCGAAAAATATTCACCGGTTTTCAAGATATTAGACTTTTACTTTTGTTTACTTTTTTGGGATCTCCGCTGTTTCTAGCGACTTTATTTTAGAAGTGCGGCGTTTGCGGCAGATGTTGCGCGCAAATAGCATATACCCCGCGTGCTACAAAACGTTTTAGTCAAACATTTAAAAATCGTTAGATATTTGCGCTGACGTCACACATTCAGAGGGGTATTCCTAAGCATTAGCCCCTCTGAATCAAAATGCTGCAATTTTGAAATTCAATATTTCCGATTTAAGGCATTTCTCGATGTTGTGAGTGCCGAAACCGGTAATTGTGAGCCAGGGACCCCATTTTGGCTATCTCAACTCAAATCTAATGTTAAGATGGGAGGGTCCCTTTAACTGGAGCCGCGATATGACAAAGATCTGTCTTACCTTCATACACCTACCAGCATCCCTGTCAGTTAAAATTGCTGAAGTTCAATATACATAATTCTCTTTTCTACCTATTCAACAAGATAAATCGTTTTGGGAAGCAGCGCCTCGGGTTTCAAGTTGCAACCAGCAAAACACACACAAGAGACACGCGCTTCCGAGCAAGCATCAGCTAAACCGCGGTGAAGTGAGTCGCATCGGATGATCTGTGGGACACTTATCCTGTCGGATGATAAAGTATTAGTTAACAATGTACGAGCAATTGTGTGGGTAGTCGCAAGTTGAGACTACCCACACAATCGCTCGTCAACGAACGCAACAGACAACGCAGGTATAGGTATAGTTCTGACAAAAGTGACAACGCCATGAACTTAGCTAAAGTATCACCGTGGTAACTACCGCGATTCAATAAATCAGCACTGAGCGCAATTAAAGCCGGCCCACAGCGCAGGACACACCATCACTGAAGGCATCACCACATTCGCAGGTGTCAGCGTAGCCCCAGCCACCGGCTACCGCAGACACGCAGATCATTTTCTTATTGCCGAGCGAAATCACCAGAGCTGCAGTCCTCACTTTCAGCCAGCGCTGCCACCGGAAGTGTCCAAATGTCCCTGTCCAGTATCCAGGGCAGCGGTAGGCCTGCAGCCTTTGCCTCCAACGCGCGTCTCAGCCGTTAGCTCCGGACGACAGCGTTGGGTCAAACGACAGCAGTCCCACCTACCCTGCCACATGACCGTACCTCGACAAATATCCCACCACAATGACATGACGCCTCGCCACCAAGACATGCACTAACATTATAAAAGCGTTGATGAGCACTGCTGTGGGTCGCCGCACGCCGGCAATCACCAGATGCGTGACCCAGGTCACACAATAATCGTCCACTCCCTTTAAAAACTAGCGCGGCTCTAGGCGGCGGCGAATCCGACCCGTGTTGACGTCACTGAAGTCGGACTGATGACGTCACTGAGGCAATGGCGGAGTGACCCCAGCAGTAGGACGGTGATGTGACGCCTGGGCCGTGACGGGCCGTCACAGTCGCCGTGACGGGCCGTCGCAGTCGCTACCGTCACGCCATGGAAGCAATACTGGTCGGTATGTCCTGTCAAAGGTGCAGCTGTGTGTCAGGGTGGGTACCGATAAACGCCCCTGAAGTTACAGAGCTGCGCATGTATGAAACAGAATGTACAGTCGTGTACAGGTTGATGGTCCTCTACTCTTTATCCACCGGGTTCCTATGGCTCAGCATTGGCAGCAGCCGCCTGGTACCGGTAGGCTGTGCCGCATGACCCGAGAGTGAAGCGGCACAGTCTACCCACGCCGTTTGACATCGGCTCGGGTCGCCGGGTGGAGGGCTTTGTAGACCAGCTGTTGCGTCAGACCAGCGCGGGGGGAGGGACTCGTCTCGGTGGTTGGCGTGGGCTGGCGAGTGGTGTGGGGCGTGTTGGTGGACCATGGGGGCTGGGCGGGTGTGTGTGGTCACTTGCTGCATTGCACATTTTGCGTCGCTTAACAATTACATTCCTGTTTTTGCTAAGCACAATGCACGGAAGACCCAGCGAATATGATTTACTTTACTTGTGCATTGTGCAAAACGTGATTTGGCACGGTATCGAGGAAACTATAGGTCTTGTGCCACATATATGCATGCTATTTAGGCAATACGTTTATGAAAATGGTAGATTGATCCTGGATGTCAATTCGTATGCTAAATGTCGACATGTATTAAATGAACGAATGAATCAATCAATCAATCAATCGACAATCGACATGTAGGTATAAAACCGTATAAATGGCTCGCAACCACTAAAATCAAACCAGATCCTAACTCGGGAAAGTAGCCGGAGCCCCGATGAGGCTCGAACCGGGACTCCACGTTGAAAGTTTTGCCAATGATCCATCACCATTCCACCAAGCTAGAGCGACCGGCACCCGAAACCACAAAAACATTCATTGACTTTGCTACCGACCGCCCGGCCCCGCCGCCCGCCCGGCCGGACTTTGCCCCGGCCCAATCCGCGATCCGGTGTAGCTCAACGTAGGAGTGCTAGACTGTCAAACTGACCGGTAGTGAGAGGCCCGGTTCGAGACGCTTCGCGTGCTAGATGTTTTGATGACTGACCCGTTTTGTTTCTTTGCTGCAATTCATGAGGAGACCGTATGCACCCTTACCTGTCCTTTCGCACCCCACTTGGGAGATGGGTATTTGAACCCCCTGGGTTTTGTGAATATCTCTAAAGCGAATTTTTGGAGGGTGGATTACGATCGGTTCTATGCGACAAGTGACCAAACACACCCAGCCCCAGATCCGCTCACTCCCTCCCCACATCACCCCCGCCCCACACCACACTCCAGCCCGCCTCATCCACCGAGCCGAGCCAAATCGACAGGCCTGACCCTTACCCCCCCCCCCCCCCAGCCGGTGTAACGCAGCGTCCGGTCAAATCGCTCTACCAGGCGACCCGAGCCGGTGTCATACAGTGTGGGTAGGCTGTGCCGCTGCACTCTCGGGTCATGCGGCACAGCCTACCGGTACCAGGCGGCTGCTGCCAATGCTGAGCCATAGGAACCCGGTGGATAAAGAGTAGAGGACCATCAACCTGTACACGACTGTACCTACTTACAATTGCAAACGTAGGCCTGTCTTGCAACTGGTTAAACAATTATTGCGTTATGTTGTATCTTAGAAAAAAAAAAGTTGTTAAAAAGTGGGCCACAGCCAGTGTTTTGGTAGAATGAAAAGCTCACAGATTGTGAATCTTAGTGAGAAACTGTGAACAGTACTGACCTGCAGATAAATGAAAATTCTACGTTTCTACTGGTGACATTCCGCTTTTTCCGCTGGAAGAAAAAACAGGTCAGTTCAGTAGTTTCCTAAACGTCCTTATTACCAGTCAACTGGAGATACAACAGTATTTAACGAGTAACCACATTGAACACATCATGAAGTATTAGGTATCACAGTATCAGTAGTACATATATATCTATTCATCATTCTAATTTCAAACGCGCGTGCGATTGAATATATAAATTTTTTTTGCATTTCTTATAAAAGTATAAAAGTGCACTTACCCTATAAAAGGGTAAGTGCAGGCTATCGCACAAACATCTTGAGCCATTTTTAATGTAACGGCGTCTAATTGAATTTGGAAAGACGCTCAAGCGATTGACCATCCATCGCTCGAACAAAAACAGCTTCATTAATCAGTGTGGCGACATGTGAAATTTTGTTGGAGTGGCGTGGCCCGCAGGAGCCGGTGGTCTGTTCGACCGGTGGCGGCGTCATCGACCCGTTATTAGTCTAATGACCGACCGGGCGACGCCACGCTGCCTCCGACCGATCGCCGGCTATGTATAGCACGGGAGGCGGCCGGTGCGGCGCACACCCAAACAGGCGGACCACGGCAGACCCTCCCCATCCACCCCCACCCAAACTTCACTGCAGAGGCGAGTGCGTGGGACGTTATTAGTAAGTATGGTGTTTTACAAGGAGCTTCCTGTTCAGGGGTGTTGACTTTTTAAAGGTAGACTGCCACCTTTTTTCCACAAAACGGTTTTCACTAGAGCTGAGCCACCTATGTCCCAGACTGAAGTCGGTTTTCCGAAATTCGAACCCGTTTGCGAGAAATCGGAGACCAAAGTTCAGTTTGATGCCATTTTTTTAGTCCAAGAAAACCGACATCTCTACTGTTTATCGATAACTTTGAAACACGAATTTTCTTATCTTTTGGTAAATATATGTCAAAACTTTGATTGTTTCGAGATCAGAGAAGAATTTTGGAGTGTCAAAATAAAAGTTAAACCTATATATTCAGTAGTTCATTTTTTCCAAAAAAGTGTGGGAAATGGGGTTTAACATGGGCGGCAGACCCATTCCAAATGAGCCATGATTTTTAAATGTTTTACGAAGTTAAATGCAAAATAAATTAAACATTGCCAATTTCTTATGAAATCATATAGTAGTAAATCATAAAATACCTTACTTTTTCAAATAAAATGTAATAATCTTATGACCTTGAAGTCTAGTGATGTGTAAACATTGTCGCTAGACATTAACCGATTGATAATTGTATGATAATCGTCAATTTTTTTCGCGATTCACGTGATGATACTTTGTCAGGTGAATTCTAAAATTTTGTTTTGTCCAGGGAATAAATCATAGGCCGATCTGAGAAAACTTTTTGAAGGTGGCAGTCTTCCTTTAAAGTTTAACGTTTCAATGCACGGGGGAGTCGATATACATGTCGATACACAGTAAATATTTTCTTAAAATTACCTGAAGCACATAGTTATGATATACAGAAATCGTGAATTTTGAAGCTATGTTTCTGTCTGTCAAATTATAGGAAGGCTATAGTGATGTCACTTATATGCTATCGTATCAAATGACTACCGCAATATAGATTTTTTAAAACAAAATCTCATTCGCCAACACCATATCTTCAAAACAAAATCTCGTTTTAACCGAACACAGCTAGGTACCCAAACAATTTCATTTTGTTTTTAATAGAAATCTGAGCGACTCGTATGCATGCAATCTTGAATAGATTAAGATTGGGTGTTTGAATATCTGATCCGGTCTGAAGGGTCCTGTTTCCACTCCATTCGCCACTCGAGCCGGGCCGTAAAGGCCGACTCCGACCCTCGGACCTCGCTGCTGAGTGGTTCGCGGTCGTTCAGACCCGACCGCCCCGCCGCCCTGAGTTCCACCGACCTCGGCCAGGTCCAGAGACCCGGGGCTCCTATCGGCCGTGAACATGCAACCAGCTCTTTCAAATATGCAGTCGGACTTGGAGGGTCGGCGCCGCGGCGGCCGCTGCTGACATTTCGAGCCATCGATCCCTGGAAGTGTTCTATACCTCGCCACTCCGAGGGCGGAGGAGGACGAAACGCAGCCAGAAAATACCGCACCGCACTGCGGTGGAGCCTTTTGGTAAAGTATGTAAAGACGTCTGTATACCGATGTCCATTGTTCAAGGGTAAGCATTTTTCTAGGGCTAATCATGCCAGCTGTTAGTTTCAATCAAAGGTCAAAAGGGAATTGGTGAAGCTCTCATTGTTATCACGTAGATGTCAGGCTGTTTCCATATAACTAGAACACTGGACGGAAATTTCTTACCTCTATATTGTTTTGCTGCATATATAGCATTCCAGCATTCCGCTGATAACGACATGGATCATATGCAAAGAATATCGATTATTCTCTCTCTCTCTCTCTCTCTCTCTCTCTCTCTCTCTCTCTCTCTCTCTCTCTCTCTCTCTCTCTCTCTCTCTCTCTCTCTCTCTCTCTCTCTCTCTCTCTCTCTCTCTCTCTCTCTCTCTCTCTCTCTCTCTCTCTCTCTCTCTCTCTCTCTCTCTCTCTCTCTCTCTCTCTCTCTCTCTTTCTCTCTCTCTCTCTCTCTCTCTCTCTCTCTCTCTCTCTCTCTCTCTCTCTCTTCCTCCCCCTCTCTCTCCCCCCCCCCCACACCTTTCCGGCTGCGGCGCCGGCTGGTCCGACGCTCCGGCAGGCGGCTCCAGCGGCTCCAGCAGGTTGTGCCGGTTGCCGCTGGGCATCCTGCCCGGCTTCAGATAGCGGCTGGGCGGACGCGCCTCCGGAACAACCTGCTCCAGCTCCATGGCCTCGTCGTCACTGTCGACAGCCGTCACTGGGGTCAAATGGTGACCCTGGGGTCAGTCAGCGCCGCCGCGCAGGTCAGACGGTGACCGGGGGTCGGTCAGGCCCGTGGGCGGTGTTATGAGGTCGACGCTGTTCGGTCGCCGTTTATGATCAGTAGGCTGCCAGTTGGGTTTCGTTTTCCGGCTAACCATTGGTCGAACTCGCGTGGTCTTTGCGTTTCACCAATGAGAGGCCAAGAAACGCCAGCAAGAAACTTTCGTATATGTATGCGAAAACCGGCAGCGTGCTGATTAACAAAGAAACCGACACCGAACAGCGCTGCGGACTGGTATACAGAGTAAGAAGTCGGTTAGGAGTGCTACCATAATGTTAAAGTTTGTTACGCGATAACGTGTGACATATGAGTTCGATGTCTAAAAAAGTAAATGAATCGATTTAAGCACCCATTTAAACGTATAACAAACTACGCTTCACAACATTGAACTGACTGTACATACACCGTCAGTTCACCTTTGAAACGACCCTTAATATCTAAAATTAGCAAATTGATATTTTCTTCGAGTTTCTCATGTCAACAGCAACGTTAATGCGCTCATGCAATGTTGTATGTTCATGAAGTCTAGGCGACATAACCTGTACAAATCGGAATGTACATACAAAGTCACACAAAATATCTGAACAGTAGTGTTATACCTACAATGTACATACAACCAAGTCTACACCATTTCAACTACTGGTCGGATTCTAGTACGCAACCACTCAATGGCTGCAAAAATTCGATACGAGCATCCAAAAACGTTTGATCTACTCTATCACTAACTACCCATATCCGGCTAACTACGTACTCACACACATACCAGCAAATACTCTACGCACAACGTCTAACGACCAGTCGCTCTTAGCTACACACAGGTTATACCTAATCTTCCTCGGTACACTACGACATAGCGCATACAGCCATTCAGTCCAGTATTTTACCAGAGGCTTAGAAGTTTGATATTGAAGCATTGAGAATGGTGGCTACTTATACTCGTAAACTTTGTTGCGATTAACGACTTTTTCTGTTGCCCGTAATTATATTTTTCCTGATACGTTGCTATATTTTCAAGGACACTTGAATTGTAACTTTTATAATGATCAGAACTCACTAGGTGATTTTGTTAATAATCTAAGCCTTTGGTCTCGTCTTCTGTGTTCAACTACACTCGATCTTAGGCCGGAATGAATGAAAATTTCGCCCAAAGTAGAGCAACAAACAACAAAATTCCAGGCAAGCCCTGGAATATAACCAAAAACATAAGGATGCTGCTGGATAGGTTGTACTGGTGCATGTGACAATTACAGAAAATCATTTTGAATGATTGAGATGAAGAGCACTGTCAATAGTTCATCCAAATATCGCGTGATATCTTTAGATAATCTGTTGAGTACATGAATGCTTTATAGCATGACTCACAATTATGCCAGCAGTTATTGACACAATGTATTTAACAACATTTACAAAAGTCGCATGGGAGCTGCGGATATGGAGGTGAAATAACTTCATTAAATTTGAGCCTGTTTTCCACTGCAGGTTGGGAGAATCAATTTTTTTATACTGTATTTTGGCCCTGTAGACGGGCTGAGAAACATTGATATAACCGCTATCTACAATATCTCTACTTCTAGTGATACAGCGGTTTTCTACATACTAGATGACGCTCTAAAGCTTCTATTAGGTAATAGGCCTAAAAGGATAAGTATATACGTAACAACACTTCTATTGTAAACCTGTCTCAATCTAGAATAGATTATGAAGAAATACTGCATCTATTTTATCATATCTACGAGGCCTCATGAAGAGAAACATGGTACGGAATGCTTAGAAACCGACTACGTTTTGTCTACAGCTCACTCGAACTATCGGCTTCAAATCCTATTGGTACCTACTCAACTGACACATTTACATTGGAGACTTACAGTTGTATAACGATTGACAAATATGCTTGGGTTTCATAAGTTGTTTGATCCTTTGAACGACACGCACAACACTGAAAGTATCCCACATTACGTGAATGGAGCGCTAAGGTCACACGGGCAAATAGAAAACGTCCCGTGCACCCAAAATTAATAACAACACGCTTCATGATCGATTAACATAAACAAAGTCTGGATTAAAGCATTTACGAGTAAGGTGGCAATGTATTTATTCAACTAAATTTAGAACGCTTGATTTTTCAAAATTGGTACCAAATCGTGTTCAAAATTCTAAAATTTAAAAGGAGAATTTTTATGAAAAACTTGAAATTCATTCAGTGAATTTATTGCGTTTTGAAATTTATTTACTTATAAAGAATAAATCTAACTGAAATTTGTTTTCAAGTATTGCATTTCATTGAAATGCGCTAGATATTCTTACAGATATTTAAATGATTATTACTGTGGTCAATGATCAGCAGAAGTTGCTGCAAATATAGGTACAAGAAGATGAAAAGTCAGATAAACAGAGGGTAAAAACAGATAAACAAGTATTTTGTGGGATCGGCTCATGGTGCAGCTTGAGGGACAGTCACAAGACAGTGTTAAGACAGACAGACAATCCATACAGGGGACGGGAAGGCCGTCACATGATCAGCCTCAGTCGCTGAACTGCAGCCCAGCTCTGGCCAGCGCAGCCGCCGCCGCTCCCACCGGGCTTCCCAGGCAGCTCGGCAGCCCTAGCCAGCGCTCCCCATGCGAAACTGGTGACACAAACTGCTGGGCCCTGCCTGTGCTCGCCGGCGGGCGGGCGGGCGCGTCAGCATGCCGTCTCGCTCTCGGCGCCCGGGTCGGCGTCGTCGTCGTCGGAGCAGCGCGAATCGACCGAGAGCAGGCCGACCGAGCTGCAGAGAGAGGGTCAGCCGACGGTGACTGCCCGGCCGCCCGGTGCACCTGACCCTGGCAGGCTGACCCGATACTGACCCGACCCCAAGCAATTCCCGCCTGACCTAATCCTGACCTAATACTGATCTTACCCTGAACTAATTCTAAGCTGACCCTGATCTGACCTTGATCTGATCCTGACCTGACCTGACCTGACCTTCGATCTGACCTGACCTGACCCTCGATCTGACCTGACCCTAACCTGACCTGACCGACCCAGACCGGCCCTGACCCGATCCTGACCCACCCGACCCTGACCTGACCCTAACTACGCACTGTCCCGACCGGGTCCCCAACTCTGCGACCTGTGTTCCTACATTTCAGCAATAAATTTCTTCGAATATTGCTAGCAGGACAATCAAAGAAAACATTTGTCCAAAGTTGAGCTAGCTACTTTAGCCTGCACTGCAAAGTTTACTGAACCAAAGGCGCCATCCCGGCTCCCACTCGTCACGTGACCTCAGGCTATTCAGCCCACCCGAGCCAAACCAATTTCCCTGAAGCAGTTAGTTCAACAAATTCATTGAACGCAGTCGACGCTGCAGGATTCGGATTAAAGTGTGCCGAAGGATACGCAATAAAATCCGTAAATACGTCGTCCAAACCACCATGGTTCGTCGACCTTGCAGCTATTCAATCAGGCTCAATATTGCGGCGATGCTGAAATGGGTTTGACATGGCCCTACGTCATCCACTTTAAACAGGTTAAGCCATTTTATGTGAAGATATTCCAGCCGGTAGTGCCTAAATCGGGATGGGTCACCTGCAAAGAAAGTGTCAGTCGATCGTCATTTTGCACGCTGAAAATTCAGGCACGTTTGATCTAAGTATAGCAGCTCCCCCATTCCCGACAAGAGTACATTGTCGGCAGTATCGTATCTGACTCGGTAGAGGGATCGATAGTTCGGGCTCTGCGGCTGACGGTCCTAAACGTGCCGCACGTCTGCAGGGCGCAGCGGCGGCGCGTCTCACTTACCCGCTCTCCTTGCGCCGCTCCCGGGCCAGCCTCACCATCGTCGCATTGATCTTGCTGGAGATGGACTTGATGGAGTAGGTGCTGGTGGCGTTGCTGCGCGTGGCCACCTGCTCCTCCTCCCTCTCCAGCAGACACTGGGCCTTCTCCTGGCGGTCGCGCTCGGCGGCGGCCGCCTCCTTCCGCTTCATGCGGTGGTAAGCGTGCACGAGGTAGGTGATCGACACCACGAACGCCACCGCCGGCGCCACGATCGACAGCATCAGCTGGTGCTCGATCTCCTCCGGGTCCAGCTCGGTGATGACGAGCGTGGCGTCTACGCGGCTGTAGTAGCACGGAAACGTCACGTTCGGATCACGGAACCGGTCGTGGAATATGGTGCAGTTCAGGGTCGGCGGGTAGCCGCACCCCTTCACGTTCGGATAGAGGTACGCCTCGTTGTGTAACCACTGGTGACCCGGCGGCCGCTCGCTGCACGTGAAGTTCTCAGCGTCTGTGTATGCCACGAGGATCTTCACACACTCGTAGATCTCTCTCGTGCAGCCCTCGCGACACGACGTCCAGTCGGAGCAGTTGCTGGCGCCGAACATCTCGGTGAACGAGACCACACAGCAGGTGACGGGCTCTACCTCAAAGTCCATCTGTATGGTGGTCACGGCCGGCTCGATCACGAACGGCACCAGGAACAGGAAGCCGAAGAAGGCGCCAATCGCCACCAGACTGAACAGCACCGTGGCGTAAAAGTCCAGCTTGGGCAGGTTTTCCTCGTACTTTTTCTTGAGTTTCTCGGCGAGTGTGAGCTTGGGCGGCACCTCCTCGAGCTCCTGCTCATCGGCTTCATCGTCCGACAGGCGACTGTGCTCGGCAGAGATGGTCATTCTGGACGCATGGCGGGCTGACCCGCCGTCCGCTCACTTCACCTGAGGTACGGGGTGGCGGGAGGTCAGAGGGGTACGCCGCACGGGGCATAAAGGGGTATGGCGGGTCAGAAGTGCACGGTGGAAGGTTGAGGGACACGAAGTTAGGTCAGAGGGGTACGGTGGATGGTCAGAGGGACACGGAAAGAGATAAGAGGGACACAGTGAAGGTTCGAGGGGTATGATCAACGGTGGGCGGTCAGAGGGGTACGGTGTTAGCTCAGAGCGGTACGATGGACGGTCTGAGGGTCATGGTAGAAGGCCAGAAGGGTACGTTAGGAGATCTGATAGGTACGGTGCAGGGTTAAAGAGATACAATGCAGGTCAAGGGGACACAGTTTTAGCTCAGAGGGGTACGGTGTAGCTCAGAGGGGTATGGTGAAAGGCCAGAGGGGTATGATGGTTATGGGTTGGAACCCAGCTAGGGGTACGATGGAAGGTGAGAGGGGTATGATAGAAGGTTAGAACCCAGAAAGGTACGTTGGAAGGACAGTGAGCAGGATGGGCGATCAGAGGGCCACAGTGAATCGTTAGAGACATGTGACATCACTTTTTGCCATGCGATAAACAAGTTGATTTTGCCAGTCGATGATCAGAACTGAGGGCCAACTACTACCACAAACATTCAGCTATATTTCTAGCTCAATAATTAATGTCTCAAAATTATGTCCTGTCTTTCCCCGTTTTGGTGCTTTGCGTCAGGAAAGCGCTTTATTACAAGGTAATAGTAATTGGAATCGTCGGAATACAACCGCAAATCGCTTTGCGTACAGTTGTGCACCCAAATCATCGTTTCAGATATTGAGCACCCAATTACTCATGTCTCAAATAAGTTTTCAACTGAAACACATTTTGAAACATATTTCAGATCCCGGAATGCCAGTTCCAGGTAAGGAAGGCTCATTTTACATACAAAGGGAAAACTGGATCCATAAGCCCAATAATTAATTGCATCAGCCGACCAGAGATCGGCATCATCCAGCCCCATAACTGCACCACAGCCCACTTAGCACATTAGCACCGAATACAGTCAGCCCGTCCCCCTCTGCCGCATACCTAGCACCCACTTCCGAAACCGATTCTTTCTATCCAGTACTTCCATCACTTCCTGCTCCCTGGTGAGTGGTGACCTGACCTCCCCGGTGACCCGGTGACCGATGACCTGTCGCTCAACCACGTACCTGCGGGTCAGACGTCCGGCCATGGCGACGACGGCGGCTGCGGCGACGGGCGCGGCTCTGGCGGTCCGGCGGACCAGGCGCGCGGCGAACATCGATCGTCACCGCTCCCCGCCCCGCCCGGCCGCGGCGGGACGGCCCGCCCCGCCCGGCGGCGGCCGACCGCCGGCGGCGGACGGGCCGGGGCGGCTCGGACCCGGTCACCAATCAGCGTGGCATGGCAGCACGCGGCCCGCGTGTCGAGCACACGCCACCCGTGGGCCGACGCCAGTCGCACGGTCGGAATGCACGCATGCCACGGACCGATTGCGCAGGGCGACAGGAAACGGGGCACACGGGAAGAGCCCAGGGCGGTGCTGGAGTTCCGGTAAGTCCATGGAAAATGAGCCTAAGATGCCAAATGGTGGGGAGGGTGAAGCTAGGTTTGCTTCAACACTATCTGTGTTCGACCAGTTTAAAATATTGCTAGAAAATAAAATTAAACTATTGTTCAAAAAGTTGGTGTCCCCCAGCTAACGACTGGCTTGGCAGCGGTTGGTCCGTTCTAATTTGTTTGTATGACAGATCAATAAGAATAGGTGTAACGTAAGTGGTAGCATGGGGTAAACACCTTGAAGAGGAAACAGTTTGGTGTAGATCTATGAAGTTCATCTCCGAATGCCGCCACAGTATCTCTTTATAATCTTACTAGTCGCAACGCAAAGTTAACATCAAAATCGTTCTCTAACTGGGGCTAGGGAGTTGGTCCGATCGTAACACATCGGCTCCCAGTTTTCATAGCGACAAGCTGTAAATGGTGTCCAAAGGACTTCAAAATTAGCTTCACAAAATATTTCGGTTACTTTTGGCTTCCCGATCGTACACGTCCAGTTCAGTGACGCAATGCGTGCCAAGCCGCAGCTAACCCACAGCATAGTTCAAGGATCTATGTTAGGCCCAATTTTGTCCATTGGCGCCCAGTTCCTTGACTATGAATTATGAAATGCCACTAGGTATACCATCCAGAAGTGAGTAGGAGAAACAAAAAAGGCCTGCATGTTTGTGTGATTGCACTGTTACTGTCTGCGCGCAATAACGACGGCTCCAAGAATATCATCCTTGCCGATCGTGCTAAACGCGATTTAGGATACCATCACTGATCACAGGATACTCGTATATTCAGCGCACTGCGCGAGGCTGACAGCCAAACTATCGAAGACATGATTGCAGAACGTGACCTATCTGCTTTGTGACCTCGCCCCGCCGGTGACGCTCGCCCACCCTGCCTTCGGCGTTCCGGTGATATCGAAATTGTGGACCACCAACCGACTGCCCTCGCCGCCTCAGACAACTGCCTCAGGACTTCTTTGCGGACGGTGGCACCGGGCTCCCCCAGTCGCTGGTAAGTGGTAATCACTCTGATGTCTCTCTCCTATCCCTCCCATGCCAGTACATCACAAGCACACACACGCCTACAGACACCACAGCACACATCACATACAGTATCAGGTACTCAAGACAACGACTAACTGTTATCCACCCCACTGACAACGTTGGAAACATTTCAAACTTTCAATGTTACCTCTTAAGTATATATCATGACATTAATCTTTTGCTAACTATGAGCGGCATTGAGCCAAATCCTGGCCCGCCATTAACACAAAATTTGAATGTGGCTCATGTAAATATCAATAGCGTGACGGCAGAAAACAGAATTGACGAACTTTTTCAATTTGTCGAAATTAATGATGTAAAAGTTTGTGCGCTTACAGAAACTAAATTAGATGACAGAGTTTCTCCCACATTATATAAATTAGGCGGTTTTCACGATCCTTTCACTAGACATAGAGACAGAAACGGAGGCGGAGTGGCCCTGTATGCCCACGCCTCACTGCCTATAAAAAGACTGACTGAGCTTGAATTGGAGGAAGAGGAATGGATATGGGCGAAAATTAAAACGCAAAATCAAACTATTCTTATTTGTTGTACATATCTGCCGCCAAATTCAAACGCTAATAGACTACAAAGTTTCATTGAACGTTTTTCGGAAAGCGTAAGCCTCGCTCAAAAACACTCACCAACTGTAACCATCATTTTAGGAGACTTTAATGCCGGGAACGTGTATCTCAACAACATGACTAATCACAGTGGTATCACGACCTTCGACCTAAGACTCCAAGACACTGCTAGCATGCTAGGACTCAGCCAACTTATCACACAACCCACCCGAATGACAAACGACAAAAGCAACTTACGCGACTTAATATTTACAGACAATACTGACATTATTATCGATAGTGGGATATTACCTTCGTTTTCACGTCTAGACCATTTCCCAATATTTGCGACTGTATGTACTGCTTTTCCACGACAAACGACAGACCTCACTCATAAAACGATATGGAATTATGCAAACCTTGACTCACAACTTCTTACCAGACTTTTACAAGACACTGACTGGGAACAAATTCTGGACAACGACATAGACACAGCAACCGAACTGTTTATAGAGGCTTTATCAAGTGCTGCCGACGCATCGATTCCAAAAAAGATAGTTAGAGACAAATTTCAAAAGCCATGGACGACAAACGACCTAAAAACACAAATAAGGAAACGCGACAGACTGTTCAGACGAGCCAAACAAACTCAGACTGCCTACGACTGGGACCGATGGAAATATCAACGAAACAAAGTGACATCGATGAACAAAAGGCTGAAGCGACAACACATCCAACACCAAGTGGAGAAACTTTTGACACTTAAGCACGACCCACGCAAGTACCACCAAACACTACGCACAATGACAGGACGAACACGCGACTACACTATTCCACCGCTAGAGGGACATAACGGAGACATATTAACTGACGACTTCGAAAAAGCGACGCTATTAAACAATCATTTCGCCAGACAAGCGACGGTCGACTTAACCGGCGCACACAGACATCCACTAAATCATGACTCAGACAGAACGCCGGTGCCCACTCTGGGTGAACTGATGACATCCGAGAGAGAGGTTCTCCAAATACTAAATTCACTCGATCCTAACAAATCAACGGGCCCAGATGAAATTCCAGTAAAACTTATCAAGTTAACAGCTCTCATCATCGCAGAACCATTGTCCAAACTTTTTAACATGTCACTAAGTCAGGGAATTTATCCATCAAAATTTAAAGAAGCAAACATAAAACCAATTTTCAAAAACAAGGGATCACCTTCTGACTACACTTGTTACCGTCCCATCAGTATACTTTCATCGTTATCTAAAGTCTTCGAAAAAATTGTCTTCAAGGGTATATATTCCCATTTACTGAATCATTCTCTTTTGACCGACAAGCAGAGTGGGTACCGGCGTAGCCACAGTACAGAACAACAGCTTTTATACCTGACTCACAACTTGTACAAATCACTGGACATGGGACGAGACTTTACTGCTATCTACCTCGACATTTCTAAATACTTTGACAAGATCTGGCATGACGGACTGTTGTACAAGAGTAAGCACGACTTCGGAATTACTGACTCACTTTTCGACTGGTTAAAATCATATCTTTGTGACAGGACACACCGAGTACGGATCAACAGCACATTCTCGGCCACTAAAACAATAAATGCGGGCTGCCCGCAGGGATCCGTACTCGGGCCTTTGCTGGCACTTATGTATCTCGACGGACTTTCAAGACGAATAAAGAATGACATTCTCTTTTTCGCTGACGACACATCTATCTACGCCTCGCACACGACAGCAGACATTGACGCCGTACAGCTATCACTACAACAAGACCTCAACGAAATCCACAAATATGGTCGAGAATGGGCAATTACATTCAACGCTACGAAGACCATCCAACAAACATTTTCACACAGACATCAGTACACACCACCAAAGCTCACTTTCGAGGGCGCAAACGTACCCATTCATGAAACTCATACTCACCTTGGCTTGACACTTTCTAAGGACCTACGCTTCCACCAACACGTCAATGCAATATGCAACAAGGTACACAAATCACTCAGTCCACTCTACTCCATTGCACGTTACATACCAAGGCCCATTCTCGACCAAATTTACAAGACGTATATAAGACCTTACTTTGACTACTGTGACACAATATATGACGGACACATAACAATACGAGACGCTGCCCGACTTGACACGCTACAAAACAGAGCAGGGAGACTTGTGACTGGGGCTATGTTCAGGACGTCAACCGAAAAACTTCTACAAGACTTGGGCTGGGACAAACTGACTGTAAGACGACAAATACACAAACTCACTTTATATCATACATTCACTAATCCAAGACACCAAACGCCAAATTATATCACGATGATCATGCCAGAAACACGTGCAGAAAACACCGGCAGAACACTACGCAACTCCAACACACACACCATGCCTCCCAACCGAACCACATCCTTCCAGAAGTCCTTTTTCCCCTCAACAGGCAAATCCTGGAACCAGCTTCCCGAATCCATCCGATCCCTTCCTCCTCGTTCCTTTCAACGAGAGATCTCGAGGCGACTGGGGGTGCCTGGGCCTTCTCCCTTTTACAAAATTGGCACTAAAATGGGCAATATTTTCCATTCTAGGCTACTAATGCAAATGTCACAACTAAATTCACATTTATTTCAAATACAAAGGCACGATACACCTGAATGTGCTTGTGGCTTTGAAACAGAAAATATTCATCATTTCATTCTCGCGTGTCCCAACTATAATTTGCAGAGAGAGGAACTTTACCGCGACATGTTGCAAATTTTTGGCGAAAATTTTGGTCAAATGTCAACTACACGGTTATTACGTGTTCTTTTGCATGGCGACGATCTTGGCGGCGGGGACTGTCGTGCGGTGGCTCAGCATTTCCAAAATTTCTTGCTTCGTTCGCACAGATTTACCTATTAATTTACCTACCTCATTCAGTTTTGTGGGCGGCGTCCCCGGTGGGCTGAGTGACGTCAGCGCGGGTTGGGTCGGTGGCCTGTCGTGGCGGCGGCAGTGGTAGTTTTGTTTCATTACGCTACGTTACCTTCATTACGTTGTATGTTTATGTTATATTCGACGTTGATCTGAAGGCTATGTTCATGTTGTTTTATGTTTATGATGTCTATCTGATTATGTTACAAGAGGTGGTGCCTAGAGTCAAGCACAATGTGCTTTTGCACCACTCTTATATTATTTTGCTTTATCTCTGTTATTCATGTTCATTTTCCGATCGTTTTACTAATAGGTTGTCGATGCGCAATAAACATTCTGGAATGGAATGGAATGGAAAATGCATTGTACGCAAGCCGAAAGAAAAAATGATAGACGGTCATTTTTCAACCGTTTCCTTAGCTCCTGAGATGACCTCAGGCTCAGAACTCAGAAGCCAGAGCATCACGTTC